TTCATAATTGGTTTCTTCTTCTGTCCAGGAGGTTGGGGATATTTCTGGAGGGGAAAGAGGAGTTAATTGTCAAAGACTTTGGTTACCCCATATACATACTGAAATAATAGCAATAGCAATTAGACTTATATACCACTTCATAGTGATTTACTGCATTCTCTATGTGGTTTACAGAGTCAGCACATTGCCCCCAACAATCATTTTACCAACCTTGGAAGGATGGAACGCCGAGTCAACCTTGAGCAAGTCAGGATTGAACTTCTGGCAGTGGGCAGAATTAGCCTGCAAACTGCTTTCTAACCACTTTGCCACCATGGCTCAATAAGTAAATAGTACATCCAATATATACAGTATAGAGCCAACTGAAGCCAGAACCAGGAGCAGCAACCTTAAAATTCTACACAAGTGCTTCAGCATTGCTAATTTTGATTTTGAAGGTGATCAAAACTAGCAACACAGCATATTCTGAATTCTATTTCCTAAGCTCTGGTGATCAAAGCGACACTGTTGGTGGTAATATTCCAAGGTAATGCATGACTCAAATGTTTTTCTCCCTTTCCCTTCTCCCTCTCAAATAACAAGGCAGGGAGAGTCAGCTACAGGATCTAAGTAAATTGTGGGAAGTGGCATATAATTTGAATGTTTTTAAAAGGGGACTGGAGAGGTTCATGGAAGATAGGGATAACAGTGATTTCTGCCTTCTGAATTATGAGCAATGGGCCTTAGTACTGACTGCTAAGAAATTTCAGTAAATTGCCTTCTGGTCCAGGGTTGTTAGTTTCCCCAATTATCTAGTTGAACACTGGAGGACACAGATTTATTAATTTATGTACTGCTCATAACAACACTGGGCTAGATGGGCTTAGGGTCTGATCCAGAAGAATTCTGATAAGATTTTTAAGACTTTTTTTTTCTTAAAAAACAACAAAAAAACCCAGCATCCAGGACATACACATAACTGAAAACTCTATCCCTGCTATTGATATGCATCAAGCCCAGCAACCAAGGAAAGCATTTTTTTTGTAGTATAATACAATTTTTCCAGTGCCAAATATTTCAAAATCCCTTTATGATTTATCACACAAACGTACAATGATCTCAGTGTTTTCATATCAGTGTTTCCACAAACCACGTTGCCATATTTCCATATATGAGCAAAAAGATGGCTATCACAGAAGTTGGAAATCTTAAATACATTGTTTATTGTAATATGGCTAATGAAAACCAACCATTTCAGAGGTTGACTACTAGATCATCCCAGACTTCCCCACCCACCCAACCTGACACTTTGTAGAAGTTTTACTCTACAATTTCCAGAGTTCCCAGCAAGTTTATCCTGTGTCACCTGCATTAAGAGGGTTAGCAAGAACCAGAAAAAATACCACTCACTTTTTCACATTCTCTCTGACATTTTAGAATGAAAATATTTGCATAAATATCCTCTAGGCAGATCCAACTGGACAAGCTGAGTGTAGAATCAGTCCAGATCCAGTCCATGGCAGCCTTCAGCTCAATCAAGAAAGGCATTACGCGGAATCTATCCATGAGAGAATAAAAAAGGGAAATTGATATTGGGACTAGCATTTTGTAATAAACAGTTCAAACATAAACATTTGATAAATTAATTTTAGGAGTTTATTCAAAGGCTTTCCTCTAAAGAAAAATCTGCAGAGAACTATCGATCTTTAATTTGGATACCAATAATATCCTGATATCGGTAATTCATCTTTCAAAGAATTACAAATCAAAGCATCTGCACTCATATTAAATGTACACTGCAGAAATGTTCTGCAGATAAATAATTTAACCAATGCTGCTAACACTGGAGCTTCCCTATATGTTTTCAGGTACAAAATATTAAGACAGAATGAAAACGATAAATTGTACTTTTTTACAAGTGGCGTAGAGGTAACCCCAAAAATCATATATTATTGATTGACTAATTGATTGATTTTAGGACCAGTCAATCATAGATTTCCATTTATAACTTAAACAGAAGGATGGCTCATAAAAAATTTATAATCGTAGTTTTATGGCTGTTTATAAAAAAATCTATTCAAATTGTCAAAACTAAGTGACTTATTACTACATGAAAAAGGAAATGGGGATAGCCAGGACTGTTCCTTGATTCCATTGTCTGGGAGCCACAGAGTTCTGATTATCATTCTACTTAAACATAGACATACTCTTGAACATAGACCTACTAGTTCCCCCCCCCCCCCATAAATCATATTCAGTAAATCAATCCCAGTGCATCTATGCTAAGCAAATGGCTATCCAATCTTTTTTCTTGAAAATCTCCAGTGATAGAACATTTACAATAGGTGCTGCTCTCAGTCAGGAATTTCTTCTTATTCCATGTTTGGATCCCTCTTGCCAGTTTTGTCTTGCCCTTAAATGCTCTGGAGAAATAAATCCAGACCTTCTGATATTCCTTCATGCATCTGAAGACTGAAGATTCCTTGTCTTCCCTGATCTTTCTCTTCTTTAAGCTAATCCTATTAAGTTCCTTTACTCAATCTTCAGAGGATTTAGCCCTCAAGCCTCTTGCTAGTTTTGTATTCTTCTCTGCAATCTTTCCAACTCTTCAGCATCTTTTTTTCACATTGTGAACTCCAGATGCTCCAGAGGGCATGTTTAGCACTTTTTCCTCTAATTGCCCCTCCCGCATAGACACATAAACCCTCTAAATCTAGGAAGTTTGATTGAAAGAAAGAGATATCAACCTAAAGACAACTAGTGACCTTCCTTAATTGAAGGTGGAGTAGATCTTGGGTCTTCTAATTCCTCATTCAGTACCATAACAACTTACTGGTTGTTGGGCTGGAAAGAAAAAGTGATCGAAAGTTACCTAGTGAACTTCTGTGCCTGAGGGAGGAATAGTACTTGGTCTTCCAACCTTAGTCCCACATTTTAACCATAAGGTCATATTGTTTAGAATATTGTTTAGAAATATGTTTGGAGTTGTAGAACAGAGCTCACTTTCCCTTCCCACAGTCTATATCAGTAGAATAGTTTGGGCCAAAGAAGAATCTTTTTGCTGCTGAAGTTATTTTATTAGTATGAGAGTCTAAAACCTACCAGTTAGTTCAGTGGTGGGATCAAAAAAATTTAACTACCAGTTCTATGGGCATGGCTTGGTGGGCATGCCGTAGCTTGGTGGCTTGGTGGCTTGGTGAGCGTGGCAGGGGAAGGATACTGCAAAATCTCCATTCCCACCCCACTCCAGGGGAAGGATACTGCAAAATCCCCATTCCTTCCCCACCCCACTAACCTGTTTTCCAACTCCATTCTCCTGTGCAGGGCAACAAAAGAAGACCCAGCCAATCAGCTGGGACTCAGGGGGCAGAGAATAGATGGGGGCGGGGCTAGTCAGAGGTGATATATGCCGGTTCTCTGGACTACTCAAAATTTCCGCTACCGGTTCTCCAGAACTGGTCGGAACCAGCTGAATACCACCTCTGAGTTTGTTCCAATCTCTCTTTGGCCACCTTTTTCTAAGTGAGCACATCAGATGTAGTATTCAGCAGGTTCTGACCAATTCTGGAGAACCGGTAGCGGAAAATTTGAGTAGTTTGGAGAACCAGCAAATACCACCTCTGACTGGAGATTTTACAGTACCTTCCCCTGCCACGCCTACCAAGCCACAGAACTGGTAGTAAAAGAATTTGAATCCCACCACTGGAGCACATGTCCTGTCATGAAATTACTACTTACCCTTGGAATAAGTAGAGGTTTATATAGTTGTAATTCTTGGTTAAAAAGTGGCCTGTGGTCCGATTTGCGTAGCCACATTTGATCTGATATGCAGACAAACCAAAATAAATGCACTTGACCAAATACCACACCTGAGCCAATCTATTCCTGTTAAATCTCCTGCAAAGGAACAGAAAAATAAAAATTTTCTTAGTTCTTGGATGTTACTTAATTTAGTGTCTATGTACAGCCTTGTGAGGCGACAGACAGAATTGTGATTAATTACATAAGAATTACATTATGTATTCACAGGGGAAGAGTTCAAAATCTGCAGGATGGCAGGCACAACATCACAATGAAGCTCTTCCACTTTTGTACATGTGAGTTAAATAGATGCATGGACCAAGATGACAGGGGTACTATTGCCACACTGTGCTTGCCATCTTACAAATTTTGATAGATACTGCAGACCAGTTGTGGATGCACAGAAGAGAGAAAAGAGAAGAGTTAAATCCTCTTCTTCATTCCCTCAATAACAACCGAAGGCTATATAAAGTAAATGGTTACAGCTTTATTAGGGACATGAACTACATGCAGATAATTCTGTATCTTATATTTATCAGTTAATGAATGAATTGAGGGCAGATTCTATGAAGCATTAGGATGGTTATAAATATAAGCCTTTTTTTTCTCCTGGAGAATTGTTCATCAATATACTAATGTAAGCATGCACAATAAATAAACAAACAAACAAACATAATCCCCAAGTACAAATATATGCTCTACTGCTTAGATCTGGGTATACTTTCTGCAGCACAAGTATCATAAACTCAAGTTCCTTGTATACATGGCTATCAAAAACTTTAGGTGCATCCCCCAAAGATCACAAACATTTTCACCAATTTGCATTATTTTAATGTGGCAGAAGAAGAAACATATTAAATACATACTTGGAAAGTAATCTGACTAGTTACCTATATACTACCATGTTTCTCCAACAATACGCCCCCCCCCAATAGGAAGACCCAGCATGTTTTCTAGGCATAAAATGAAATTAAGCCCCTCCCCCCAAATTTAGGCCTAGTTTAAAACACGCGAAATTGGGGGAGGGAGGTGGGGGGGGGAACTTGCCTCACCATCAGCCGCTCCTAACACCATGGTGGAGCATGGAGGGCTCCCTTACCTCTCCCTTACTCAGGTCAGCAGGCGGGCGGTGTCGGCGTGGATGTCCAGCAGCATTTCAGCTGCTTCTGAGGCCTCCGTAACTTCCACAGTTCCCATTAATGCTGGCACCTGTCTTGCCAGCGCTGTCTCCAACAACAGCATCTGAATCGCTCCCGCTTTTCCCCCGACCCCGTAACAACAGGAAAAAAAAAAACATTTTGAGGTACCTGGGAGTGTTGCGCACTGCGTTTTGGTTTAATCCCGAGCAGCTGGGTGGGCATGAGAAGAGCCGAGCGAGCGTCTCTGCTGCTGCTACCCTTGGTGCTCCACCCTCGGGCTCTGCAAGTTTGCAAAAGTCCCAATGCGCAGCCTGTTCCTGCATTCCAAGCGCCCAAGCCGAGCTGCAGCTGTCCCTCTCTCTCCAGCGCCATCTCCAACAACAGCGGCAGCAGCGGCAGGAACTGTGGAAGCGTTTCAGCCACTTTTCGGGTAGGGGAGCCGCCTCTGTAACTTCCACGGTTCCCCCCGCTGCTGCTGCTTTTATTGGAGATGGTGCTAGTGAGAGAGGGACAGCTGCAGCTCGGCCTGGGCACTTAGAATGCAGGAACGGGCTAGACACCGGGACTTTTGCAAACTTGCAGCGCCCGAGTCTGGAGCACCAAGGGTAGCAGCAGCAGAGATGCACACTCGGCTCTTCTCACACTCACCCAGCCGCTTGGGATTAAACCAAAACGCAGCGCGTGGCACTCCCAGGTACCTCAAAATCTTTTTTGTTCTTGTTGTTACGGGGGATGGGGGGGGAAAGTGGGAGTGACTCAGATGCTGTTGTTGGAGACGGTGCTGGTGTGCAGGAGGGGAGAAATTAATTCACCCCCGAAAAGACGTCCTAGCCATTTTTTCAGGGCTCAAAAAAAAATAAGGCCCGGCCTTATTTTGTGAGAAACACAGTATTAAAACTATCCTGTCTTTTTTTTCATTTCAAATGCAATAATATTTACTTTATTACTTTATGCCTGAAAGTAACTAAAGACACTAAACAGAATCATCAATATCGAAAATAGTATTTAACACTCTCAGTCTAAAGAACAATACATATTTCAAACAATCTTTAAAATCATAATTAAAGCAATAAATTATGAAATGCCCAATTACACTCAACAATGACTGAAGGAACATTCCACAATGTGGGTGCAACCACCAACATGAATCTAAAACAGAACTAGGTAAACCATAGGCCATACACAGTACCTAAAGTTGAGTAATCTCCAGAATTCCTTCTTTCATTGCTTCTGAAATCTGGTAGCACCTTTTTGGTATTTTTTTCATTTCTTAATCATTTGAAACCATTACATCTATTAATTTAAGTTTCATGTTCCTATAAAGAACACTTTCACTATAATTCAGCTTTGTAAAGGGTCTTTTTCCTGGACCTACTCATGACTTTTTGTACAGCCCACCACATCAAATTAATACAAAATATAATATTCAACCTGAGAAGACTTGGTTATCCTTGAGGACTTGAAGTAATACCTCGAAGCACATAGAAAAGACACATATAGAATAAAGGCCATTCCACCCACTGAATATATATCTCCCATTTGAATTGAGCCCCAAAAGATCTTTGCAGGAAGCAACTCCAAGTTCCTTCCTGGATGTTGCCATACCTTTGTGTTACTTGTGGCAAAATGAAACACATCCAAATATGAACGCCAAAGACCAAGATCATTTGGAAAACACACTTCCCAAACGTGTTCTTTCTTAGGTAGAGTGCCCTATCAATTATCATGGTGCCAAACTGTATCAAGAGTATCACAAGCCAAGGTACAGGGACTTCATCTTCCAAAAGGGATTCTGCGAAATCATCCTCCGAATGTTTCTGAAATATGTTAAAAAAAAATAATAATAACACTGTGACAAAAGAAAGCAAAAGACAGTATTAATAGCAATAGATACCTTGCAATCCCAAAACGTGTGAAAGACCACTTGAATACCATCAGCACTGACAAAAACCCTTAACATCTCTGCCTATCCCAGGCCCTTGGGAAAGACTCCATTGGTGGATAAAAATACCAAATTGAATCTAAACATCTAGCTAAACATATATGACCAAACATCATCATAATAATGCCAAATAAAACTAGATTACGTTAAATTTCCTCTTCTTTTTTTTCTGAACTCCAATTTCTTTTGTCTATGACTTTTTATACAGTATTCCTGCACTTTGCTTAGTGCTGTTTATTCCAAAGGAATAGTATGAGACATATGTATTAATATCAATAACCATAACAATAAAAAATCAATGTATTCACACATATAATGGTTCCACACTTTAGATTGGCATTTAAAATCATTTAAAGTTTTAAATGCAAATACTTGCATTTTATTTTCAAATCCAGCTTCATAAGTTTATTTAACAAGTATTATCTCTAATTTCCATTGTATCATATAGAAGCCATATTACTCCTATGTTCCATAGACTCAGTTCCAAATATGCTTCATCAACTTCGGGTTTACTTGTTGCTTTAAAGCATTTGAGTCCTATCCTCTTCGATCTGTAGTGTCTTCTAATATCATTTTCCTTTCCTTTCCTTTCCTTTCCCTGCAAGGTAATCATCTTTTATATTAGGGTCACAATGACTGCATGAGCTAACAGTTCTTAGCTCAAGGTCACCTAGTGGGGATTTAAAGTGGGGATTTAAATCAAGACCCAATAATCGAAAACTAAAATTACTACCCCAAATTGGTTCTTGAGCACTCATACATTCAGAAGACATCACATATTCTTGCAACAAAAATATCTAAAGATATTTTTATAAGAGCATTGATTTCATTGAACTTGAAATTGTTCTGGACTGAAGAACTTGAAATTGAAAAGCATTCATGGATTTGGAACTTTTGAAATAATAGCAAAATAATAATAGCTTTTGAGCACATCATGAGCATATGAGTATTTCTTCTTCATCACTGAGGGAAGCATTATTTGTTTGAAATTCTGGAGAGAAAAAAAAACTTTCTTCCAGACCCACCAAACATACTCTACAAAACCTTTCTGTTAGAATCTCAACAACGCACATTGCTACTTACCCCAAATGCCCCATAGCCAAAGATGGTAATAATAAAATTAATCACATCAGCAATAAAGATGTAACCATAGATATCGCAGACTGGACTGCTCTTGGGATAAATGATGTCATAGAAGAATTGCTTGATAGGCCGATAAATCCAAAGCACACTGGGGGTAAGAATTTATCTAGATCCGTCAAAGTGCAAAGTGCAAAGTAGAGTCATATTTGTTAAGATAAAGTCCTTGCTTAAAATTCAAGAAAAAAGTGATAGCATTATAGCAGACACTGCAGAAAACACATATGCTAGCTAGTTGAGATGAGGTTGTAGACCCAAAAAGTGGTCTAAATGTGGACTAAGGAACCTATCATTTCAGGACCTCCTATTTCTAGGGCTGGATACCTCCTTCTCCATCTGTTCTTTCACACATACAGTAGTTTGATGCACATTACTTTTTGGTTGGGTCAGATATCTGATTTCATTCTAGGACATCTCAGCTCAGATAACCATGAAAAGGCAGTTATTGTAATCATAAATGAAAGCAAACCACAGGATGTTATTCTATTTTACATCATCTATCTTTATGACAAAAATTTCATCCCGTCTTATTATGGCTAAATTGGAGAGCAAGGTGTGTGAGGGAGGCTGAGTCTGTTTCTCAGCAATTGACTGATTTGTCTATTCATAAAGCCATGATCACAGAGGCATCCCCAGAAGTAAGCAAATGACAAAATGAGCATTACACTGTTGTGATTAAGCTCTGCCCATTTTGTCCATGCATTGTGTTGTGACAGATACATACAAAACATGCAGAACTTAAGTACAACAGTGCAGTACTTCTTGCATCATTCTGACCCCAGATCTTCTCTCAGAGCTATGTTTTTTGCATCATCAAGTCAGCTAAACAAACTCTCAAAGATCTTGACCATTTTATAGTCAGAAGCAAATGTAGCATGTTTCTTTCTTGTAGAATTCTATGTAGAAGCATTATTTTTTCAGGCATGGTCATCATCAGGCAATGTCTACTCTTCCTGACATCCCTTGCCCTACTTGCAACTCTGCTCAATCGGGTTGCAACACCTTACTTTCTTTAGGTCAGTTTTTTCTCAATCTTGGCAACTTTAAGATGGGTGGATTTCAACTCCTAGAATTCCCCAGCCAAGGGAAGTTGAAGTCTACCCATCTTAAAGTTGTCAAGGTCAGGAAATACTGTTTTAGAATAAAAGGAAAGGAAACCCTCCATTTACATTTTAATCAGCAATTTTTTAGTCTTAAGTATCTTCTGGTTCCTTGTTTCTTTAGAATGTCTCTTCTTGCCAGAGGGAGGTTTTCTGAAAAGGCTGCATGTCTTCTGGGCTTCTTTCAGAGATTTGTCTGTCAAGAGTAAAGGAAAACATTCATTATGCTATCTGAGAAGCTTTCACATGACAGGATAATTTTTTTAAATGCTCCCCAACTTCTGATGCAGTTCCATTCCCAAGCACATAACAATTGATCTTCAGTCCAATCATGTCTTCTGAAACATTAAAAGAAATGCCCCTGTGCAAATTCCTGTGTGGGAGAATCCCTCCCCAAGTGGCAACAAAAGAATCTAATGAACACAGAGCGATCAAACTTTCACTTTTTGATTGCAAAAGAAATGTGAAACTTCTCAACATAAACCAAACCACAGCAATAACAGTAAAAGTGAGCAAGCTGTTAGGACAGGGAGAGGCCATTCGGTGGAGGTTGAGAGACACAGTGGACAGAGTAATTAAAAAAGGGAAAACCCTTGGATTTTCTATTTTTATTTCCATTTTTAAGGTAGGGGCTACTTTTGTTTCTCAAATAGATTGAGTTTATTTTACAGTTTAAGCTACATTTGTCCTCTCAAAATGATGGGAAATCACACTGCCCATTTTCAGCAATGGCACTGTAGCTGGAGAAGTTTCTAGAATCACAAAAGGGGATTCCGAGCCTATGGTTACTCACTCTAAGATATGATAACAACAAATGCAAATGGACTTCCAGTTTGCTCCTCATTGGAGTTGGAGCAGAATCCGCGATTGTGCGCAGTTTCGCCTGAGCTCACTTGCTGGAGGGTCTCGATTGAGACCAGAACCACCCTGTAGGGGTGGTGAAGAAGGGGGGAATAGCCTGGAGGGTTGAGGGGAGCCGCAACTCCCCTCCCTAACAGGGAAAAACCCTTCCAAAGGCAAGCTGCAGCGGTAGTCTTAAAATGGCCACCACAAAGACAAAGAACACTCCAGGAAATTAAGTTTTGTGCTGGAGCAGAGAAGTTGCGTGCAGAGTGTGAACCAGGCAAAAGACGTCATTTTTGAGGTACCCTGGACTTAAAATAAAGGGCTATCTTGGAAGAAAGTATGTGGAAGTGGTGACCAAAGAAAGTGAGAAGGAAATTGGATTTTATAAAATTCAGATTGAATTACTGTATTGGATTAATTTGGAGGAGAAAATTTAAAGGAAAATACTTTAGCACAATACAGGTTTAGAAATTAAACTGGATAACTACTGAACTACTAATGCTAAAACTGAGTGTGTTGAAAAGAAAAGAAATAACAGCTAATGATTGAAGTTAGCGAACTTAATAAAGGTATTACATTTAATAAAGAAAGTTAAAGGCAAAAGACTCAAGAGTGCCATCTGATGGTACAGGAAAGTTTTAGTATGTTTTAAAAAGTGTCTGGTCTTCTCTAGAGTTTGGATTTTGGAACTTAAAAGAAACTTTATTATTGTCATAGAACCACCTGGTTACTTGCGAAATAGTTGGGGCCAATTAGAAGACCTGGAACAAAGGATCAAGAGTATGGATTGTTGAAAATAAATTGGCTGAAATAATATACTGGACTCTGGGGACTGAATATATCTATTAAAGAAGAGGATTTTAGCTATTAAGGAAGAGGAAAGAAAAAGAGAAAAAAAGAGAAGATATAATGGAGGAACTTTTTGTTGATATAAGACTGGACTTACAAGATACAAGATTGGACTTGCAAGATATAAGGGACACGATAAAAATTAAACTTGACATGTGTAATTACCTATTACAGAAATTAGAAACGGTGACTCAGCATACACAAGAACAAAGTAAACCAGAGGGGGAGGAGTTCTACAAAGAGGAAGCCAACTTTGAAGGACAAATGGAACAACAATAACTTAAACAGGGGGGGAAAGGAATTAGAATTAAAAATTTGTGGTCTGATGGGATGGTAAAAGGGAGAATGGTTCAGGAAATGGATAAAGGGAGAGGGAAAAAGCAGAAAAGAAAAATGCAAAAGAAAAATCGAAAGAGTGGGAGAGAAAAGTTCAAAAACTGGAATGAGAAATGGAGGGGAATAAGAATAAGAATGGGGGGGAAAGGGAATTAAGAAAAAGGACTAGAAAATAAAGAGGAGCTGGAAACAAACAAGGATGAAAAGAAGTTACATTGTCCAAAGACTGAGAGATAATGGGTGAAAAAAAAGGATAAGGAAGGAGATTCTGCAAGGTAGTGCATATGTTGTGATGTATAAGACTATATTGAGAATAGTATTTTTTAATGTATAGATGATTTATAAAGTGTTTGAGAAAATGTAATAAGAATCTGAGAAAAATATATATATATTTGTGTTATAATCTAGGTAGAGAGATTAATATTAAGGTAGAATGAAGGTGGTTGGCTCGAATTATTAATTAGAGGGGACAATTATATTTATAAATAAGGATTGATAAAATGACAATGTGACAGAAAAAAGTAATATGAGAAATGAATATAGAAATGTGATGAGAATTTTAGATAACATGGTAAAATAAGATATGAGAATATATTAACATAACATGAATTGGAACTGGATAAGGTAAGCTTAATATTTAATAATAATAAGGATGATGCAATATGAAATTAAACAAATAAAATGAATAGGTAACTATGGTCATGTCTGTATTGAGATGTGAAACCTGGAACCACATTGCTTGCCAAATGAGAATTTTTTTATTTAAAAAAATAAAAGCAGGGAAAAAATTGAATAATGGAATTCCTAGGTATGTTTAATTGATATGGTGGTAGGCATTTGGGGAGAGTATTGAAAGATTGAAAATAAGTAGTGAAGGATTATGAACTAATGTCAATGTATGCATTGAGAGATATGATTGGTACTATTAATTTGCCTATACTAAAATGTATGATATATTGATGCCACACTGCTAATATATCATTGTGTATGTGTAGATTGAAATAAAAATATATATAAAAAAGAACAAATGCAAATGAAATTTGAAAGGATCACCTCAAATTATTCCCTCTCTCAATAAGAGAGAGCTTAAGACATTTCTTTAATGGGCCCTCTTCCTTTGAGAGGCAGATTACGATCATCACTGGGTTTTCTGATCCCCACAGAACAGAAGAGCAGAAATCACAGGCAGGAGGCTGTCAAGGGGAGGGCAGGTTATTATTTTATATTTCTGTCAGATCTTAAGAGTGAGTTTAAATTAAGGATATATATCAGGTGCCAAAATATAACTAGTCTTTTGTATTCATCTTGACTGAGTAGGAAGCTGCTGTTAGCTTCTGCCACTCTGGCAATAAAATGTTCACTTCTCCAGCTCTTCTTGCCCTCGGAAATTGTGGGAGTGTCATCACTTGAGACTTTCAAGAAGAGATTGGACTGCCATTTGCCAGAAATGGTGCAGGGTCTCCTGCTTGGGTGGGGGGTTGGACTAGATGACCTACAAGTTCCCTTCTACTTCTGATTATCTGTTACCTATTTTATTAATATATTTTTGACTTTTACTCTTCCTGATGATCAGGAGGGTCAGGATTACCCTTTTCTCTTCCTCTCCTCCTTTCATAGCAAGAATATTTTGTCCACATATTTGCATTTATCTACCTCTATTAGTCCTCTTAAAAATGTTCCTAGAGAGATGCCATCGTTCTGAGCTAGACTGGGGTTCCTTCGAATGACCTTTGCAACCTTTCTTCTTAGATTTCTTGGCCATGTCCTTTTGTTTAGGATCTAGTATTTTAGAATCCCAGAGACCTTGACACTGTGGGACAAAACAAAGTAAAAGTTATTCATGTGGGAATCTTAAACCACATTTAAAAGAAGTGAAAGAGAATGCTGGATCTATACATGCATAATTCCCATACATGTCAGAGCACAGAGCAGGAAAAATAATTGGAGCTTTCACGAAGAAAGTTGGCTGTCAAATAACCACCCAAATTTCGGTATTTGAGGGAACTCAGACTGATGCTTTAGGACAGAAAAACATTTGAAGAGATAATCCTTCAAATATTATGACCATAACATTGACTACATTTGCTCTTGTCACAGAGCAAATGTATAGAATTAGGGAAACTTCAGTGATATAGCTGGAGGAGTTTTGTGTTAAAAATTACAGCTTGGGAGATTTTAGTTGAAAAAAGAAAATAATTGGGAAAAGAAAGAAAGGTGTAAATAATTATACACAGTATGAAGAATATCCAAACAAGGAACATCTCTCTTTCTCAATGATAGTACAAAACAACTGGCTACTCAGGACAGACCAAAAGAAATGTTTTGTTACAAAATATTTGGCCAAACTATAGAATTTTTTGTTTCCAGAAGCTGAGAAGTTAGAGACATTAATGGAACATAAGGCTGCCAATGGGTATTAGCTGCAGTTTCAAAGGTAATATATTAGCAATGACATTTCCATCTGCTAGAAAACCTCAGTGTCATTCTCTACTGTATTCTCTATTGCATCAATGTTCTTCTGCTGGGACATGGTTGATCACTATGGGAAAGTGACCGAAAGTGACTAGACTAGATAGTTTTTTGATTCACAGGACTCTTCTGAGGTTATCATAGACATCTGCTACACATGTTAACAAATCCATGCTTGAAAGGGTGGATTAAAGTCTTTCTTCCTTATTAAGGATAGTTTGCAGTACCTTCAAGATGTACCTGTGCAAGAACAAGGCTAGGAGCTGCACTAGATCATACTGTGCATATCCGTCTTTCTTCTCCATCCCAATTAGATTTGGCAAGGCAAATGGTGCTTCTGCATTGATACTGCAATATAACTTAGAAGACCAAGGAAAGAATCCAAATTGGGAAATACATTTGATCACAATCATTATCTGGCAGAGGAAGGAAACATATGTAGATTTATTATTATCATAAAATGATAATTCTTCAAGATTTCTAAAACAGTGAGCAATGCTAAAGTGCGGGGTAGTGATCTGTTCTACGACACAGGCTTCGTATTTTTATCCTGCTTATTAATAATAATCTTTTCAAAGGAGACAGTCAATAGAAACTGTGGGACAATATTAAAATTTATCTTGTAGGATTCAGCTGAAATCAGTGTTTTCCATTCTTATCCATGTGTTTTCCCAGGATGATTAGCAGGACATATATTCCAGATACAAATCACCAAAAGGCCTGTATTGGAAGATGCTAATAAGAAGTCCTGTTTTCCTAAACTTGTATAAGATGTTTTATAGATGGCATTTTGCACCAGCGCAGTTGGCAAGGATGTTTAAAGACAAATCAGCTAAATGTTGGAAGTGCCACCAAATACCTGGCTCATATTATCATATGTGGTGAACTTGCCCAAAAGCAAAAAGAATACTGGACAAAAATACATCTGTAGTTGGGAAAAAATGATAAAACAGCATATTGATTTAAAACCAGAAATATTTCTATTGGAGATTCTACCTGAAAAATACAGTTAGGAAAATGCATATTTAGTTAATCATATATTAACTGCTCCTAGAATTGTATTTGCACAAAATTGGAAGAGTGAAGATGTGATTAGGAAATGTGCAGAAATGAGTAGATTAACATTGGCAATTAAGGAGAAAGAGCAAACTGAATACTATATGGAATGGGATCTATTTTATCAATGGTTACATAATAAAAATGGAAGTTAGAAACAGGGAAACAAAATTAAGAAGATATGTTAAAAGAGATAAGTAAATATGACTAGTATGTTGAATATTACTATTTTAATATTCTAGAATATATGGAATATTACTATTTTAATATTATAGAATTAATATTAATATAAAAAATGATGTTGCAACTCTGATTGTTTAAAAAGATATTTGTATTCAGACAACACACTGTTCAATTAAAGATGGAATTATTACAATAAACTTTTTTAAAAAATAAAAGAAAAAGATGTCCTGCTTTCCTCCTTTTTGCCTGAGACCTTGTACCATGCTCTGTTCTAGTTTTCTTTCCAATGTGACCAGTAGTTGCTTCCAAGTCAGAGACTAAAATTCTCAGGTAGGCTTGTGACCTCTTAGTATCTATTCAGTTCTTTATTTCAATGAAGCTCAAAGGGGAGTGAAAATGATGTACAGGGAAGACTAAAGCAGCTAAATGCAGCATCTACTGAACACTTACCTCAGTGTAAATGATTGCTATCATCCAAAAGAATTTGGTAGGCCTTGGAATGGACAACATAGGCCACAGGAATATCAAGATGGAGAGAACCGAAGTAAGAATGGAAGCAGAAACCATGTGGTTGATAATGATAACAAAATAACAAAGCATTTCTGATGTAGAGACCATAACATGGTACAAAGCAACTCCAAGCTTCAAGGGACAAGGAAGGCACTGGTAAAATTTATCGGACTGCTCCAGCTCATTGTTATGAAGAATGCTAGACCATATTTAAGGAAAAAGCACAAAAAATGTCATTAACTAATGCTACTTATTTCCCCTTCTTAGCATTTTCCCTCAGGTGCAGGGTCCTTTTTTTGGATCAACCAAATATTGATCCATTGGTTGTGACAAGAATTAACAAAGTACTTCGTTGTCTGAGGCTGACATTATGGGCTGAGAAAGACTCACACAGACATCTTTTATGCCAAAGGCGGGATAACTCACAGTCTCCTGTTTCTAGCTTGGCTCCTTAACCATCAGACCGAACTAGCTCACAATTAATAATTGTAACTAAAATAATATATACCAGCACAAATATATTCTAGAATAAATAATATCCTGAACTTTAGATACAGTTCATTATGAACACCTTCTTCATTTTTCTCCTGCACTGGGGATTATTAAGGTAGTAGGTCAGCCTTCCTCAGCTGAAGTCATCTAAATGTGGGATTGTGAATCTCGGCATTTCACCCAGTGTGTTGAAGAACATAATAGAGCTTTGAGATGTCTGCTCTGGGTTATGTCAAAACAGCAAACAAGAGGCACTCACTGAAATACTGTGGACCTAAGGATTTTGCAATCTTGAATTCATGCTCTTTGAAAGCAAAGTGAGGTCAGAAGGCAGTTTTAATAAAAGCATAATGGGATATGCCTTGCCTGTTAAGCACCAGCTCACTGGTTGTCATCATAGGAGATATTTCACCTAATGGCTTGTTGGCTTTTGGACTTCTAGTAAACAAGGAATCTGCAGACTCTTGAATTTCTGATGGAGAGCTGGAAAGAACGGCAGGTTCTGCACAGGAAGTGGTCAGAGTGAATCCTTGGGAGAGGGCTCCTTTTTCATTTTCCCCTTCTATCTTCTCAGTCCCCATTACATCTTTGTCAGTTTCACTGGCTCTCCTGATTTCCAAAGACATAAAAAATTGCCCAGAAGTCTTTTAGTAGCATCAAGACTGAGAGGCATTTTTACAATGGTGCTCCTTCCAAAGAGCTGTTAAAAACAATTCATTATCCTTCACTTCTGAACCATTTTTTACCATCAGGGATTTATGCAAAAAAAAAATGGAAACAAACTTCTTGATAACTATGGACATTTGATTCCTCTGTTAGAATGAGGGCAGGCAATATTTCTTTGCTCAGAAATTCCATATTTGGCCTCCTAAGTAAAATCTCACCATCAAAAATTTGGTGTTTTTACCACCCAGTATAGTTAGGCTGGGAGAGACCACACATTTGATCCAACAGGTTACTTAATCTTGTTTTAAAACATAAAAATCTAATGAATATTTTCTTTGTTCAAAGCCAAGTTGAAAAATCTAAAAAAGCAAAGCACCAAAAAATGGGAAAGCGGGTTTTGTGTTCCTTCTCAGTGTGCACAGAATGTCTCTGTGGGAATCATAAAATCATAGGTTTGTAAGGGATACTTGAGATCATCTAGTCAACCTCACAGTATCCAGTGCTTTTGGAGATCACCTAACTGTAACCTGCCCAGTGTAGAAATCCTCATGCTTGTTTATTTATTTGTTTGTTTATTTCAAACTCCTGTGGCTGTCCATCCTAAAAGCACAGTTCTAAACAGTTTACAACCATTATATGAAAAATCAATGAAAGCAAAAACAAACAAACAATAACTCAGAAAGAAAAACCTGACATCACAACCACTCTTCTATTATGCAGCCAGTGCTGGTACCTTCTGTTAGATCGGTGGATTGGGTCACATAAGAGACGAGACGCGAAAGTGAACAATCAGCTCTTTATTGTAGCTTCTGAACAAGGACAGTTAAAGTGTGCGAGCCGCTTGGCTTTATACAGCCGGCCGGCGGCTCGACGGCCAATGGCAGCGCTTTGAATCTCCCGCAATCGGCTCGGCCAATCGCGGTAGATTCTTAGCGCTCCAATCACAGTCATTCAATGGATCAATCGGGTTGCGGTCCGGGTGGACCAGTCAGAATGCGAGTCTTCAAGAATGTTAATACAGAACACCCCTCCCCTCATGGTTTCGTCCGACGCAGCGTCGTGACGTAGTCGCGCAGGTAGGTGGGGCTCCGAATCTGTCTGGCTGACCTGCGCGGTTCAGTCTGTGTGTGATCGTCGGCCGGTTTGGACGGGCTCCGCGTCGCTCTCAACTTCGTTGATGGAACCGCCTGGAAGGGTGAGCCGGGCCTGTCGCCGCAGCTCCCGCCCGGGCTACCTGGGTTGGTCGAGTTGCGGTTCCTGTTGCTCTCGCTTGGTCTTTCCGGGCTGGTTGAGCTGGCTTGGCTGTACCTTCCAGGTGAAGATCCCGTCTGCGACAGTTCGCGGTCTGCTGGTGAGTATGGCTCGTTTATTTGAACGTTTCTGTCTTCTGGTGGGGGGTGTTCGGCTTGCGTTGGGGGGTATGCCGTTGATGATTCCGGCCTTCCGTCGTTTACCAGCTTGGTTGTTGAGGCTTCCCCTCCCTCTCTGCTTTCCTTGGTTGTTGTTGTTGAGGCGTCGGGGGTGCTGGCGGCTAGTCTGGACCGTAGCTGGTCGATGTGCCGCTTCCAGCTCCTTCCGTCTGTCGTTTGAAGTCTGTATGATCGGGGCCCGGTTACCTGTGTTATTTGTGCAGGTACCCAGAGGGGGTCTCCCATGAAGTTCTTCGCGTAGACCGTGTCCCCGATGTTGAATGCCCAGTACCGGCTGGAGGAGTCCGGGGGTTTCTCTGGGTTGTAGGTGGGGTGTAGGCGGTCCAGTGGAGACCTCAGTTTCCTTCCCATTAGTAACTCCGCTGGGCTCTTGTTCGTGGTTGTGCTCAGCGTGATGTGCTGTATGAAGAGTAGTTTGTTTATTTTCTCCTGGATGTCGCCGGTTTCGATTTTTTGGATGGCTTTTTTTGTGTATTGGACCATCCGTTCCGCCCTACCGTTCGCCGCCGGGTGAGCCGTCGAGGTTAAGGCGTGTCGGATGCCTCGTTCGGCCAGGTATTTCTCAAATGCCAGTGCCGTGAACTGTGGCCCGTTGTCTGACACTATGACATCCGGTAGCCCGTGCGTTGCAAAGAGTTTGTTGAGCTTGTCGATGACCGCTTCTGTTGTTGTTGCCCTCATAGTGCTTACCTCCAGCCAGTTGGAGTATGCATCTACGGTGATGAGGAATGTATGCCCCTTGGTTGGCGCGGCGAAGTCTATGTGTATTCGCGACCATGGTCCTCTCGGGGTTTCCCATTCCAGGATTGGGGCGGCGGGGGGGTTGGCTCTCGACTCTTGGCACCTGCTGCAGCCGGCGACCCATGTCTCGATTTGTTTGTCCATCCCTGGCCACCAAGCGTAGCTTCTGGCCAGGGGTTTCATCTTGACAACCCCTGGGTATCCCTCATGCAGCATTGCCAATACTCTGTTTTGTAACGCTTCCGGTATGACTACCCGGTCGCCCCAGAGTATGCACCCCCTTTGTGAGAACAGCTCAGTTTGGCAGTTTCGGAAGGCTTTGAACTGCTCGCCGCCATCATTTTCTGGCCACCCCCGCTCTACCCAGCTCAATACCCGCGCCAGCCGTTTGTCTTTATTTGTTTCATGGGCAATGTCTGGCGTGGTTAAGAGTGGGCTGGGTAGGGTCTCGATTTGCAGGGTCATTGTTGTGGGCGCTGGGTCGTCGTCTAGGTCGGGTAGTGGTGACCGGCTTAGTGCGTCATCGTGTGGAATGTTCTTGCCGGGCCGGTGTGACAGTTCATATGAATATGCGGCAAGGAACTCGGACCACCACGTCATCCGGGTGACAGGATGTTCGGAGTGGCCTTGTTCCCTGCGAGTATCCTGAGCAGGGGCTTGTGGTCCGTTATGATCGAAAAGTTCCTACCGTAAAGGTACTCATGGAACCTTTTTATTCCGGCGACGATGGCGAGGGCTTCTTTGTCCAGTTGACTGTAATTTCTTTCTGGCTTGGCCAGCGTTCGGGAGAAAAAGGCGATGGGTGCTTCCTTCCCGTCGGGTAGGGTGTGGCTGAGGACTGCTCCGATGCCGAAAGGTGATGCGTCGCACGTTACCGTGAGTGGGAGGGTCTCGCTATACTGGATCAGGACTGCGTCCGATGTCAGCAGGTTTTTTGTTCGTTGGAACGCAGTCTCCTCCCGCTTCCCCCAGGTCCAGGTGGCCGCTTTATCTAGTAACCAGTGTAGGGGTTCCACCACGGTCGCCTTTTGGGGTAGGAAAACATTGTAAAAATTAAGCAGTCCCAAAAATGCCTGTAGTTCCGCCTTGTTTGTTGGTGTGGGGGCTTCCTTGATGGCTCTGAGTTTCTTCCCGGTTGGGTGTATTCCGTGCCGGTCCAGGAGGTACCCCAGGAACTCGACCCTCTCGGTGTGGAGTTGGCATTTGTTTCTTTTGACTTTAGGGCCAGCGTCTTTGAATTTGTTAAGCACCGCCCTTAAACGGGTCTCCAATTGTTCTCTGTTGGCGGCTGCGATCAGCACGTCATTGAAGTAGGGAACCACCCCTTTTATTCCCTGGAGGAGCCTTTCCATGAGACTTTGGAAGACTCCCGGGGTGACGCTGACTCCAAATTGGAGTCGGTTGCACCGAAAAGCCCCCCAGTGTGTAACAATCGTTTGCGCTTCGGCTGTCTCCGCATCGACCGGCAATTGCTGATACGCTTGTGCCAAGTCGAGTTTTGCGAAGACCCGGCCTCCCCCCAGCAAGTGCAGAAGGTGCTGTACTACTGGGACTGGGTAGGTGCTTTGTTGCAGCGCGTGATTGAGGGTGGCCTTGTAGTCCCCGCAAATTCTTATGGAGCCATCGGGTTTGATGGGGGTGACTATGGGCGTTTCCCAACGGGTATGGTCGATGGGCTCTAGTACCCCTTGCGCGACGAGCTTGTCTAGTTGCTCGTTGATTTTCGGCTTGAGCGCAAAAGGCACTCGCCGGGGTTTGAGGCGGATTGGGGCGATGTTAGGGTTAAGGTTGAAAGATATAGGGGGCCCTCGGTACTTGCCTAGCGAGTTGTCGAAGACCTCCTGGAATTCTTTTACGAGCGTCGCTTCCCAGTCGGCCTCGTCTGTGTGATGAATGCCCATCACCTCGATGCCCAGCGGGGCGAACCATTGCAGGCCGAGCAAGCTGGGGCGGTCCCGGTCCACGATTGTGAGTGGCAAGATGTCGGTGTGGTTCTTGAACGTGACCTTAAAGTGCCCGATGCCGGCCACAGGGATGCGGTTTCCCTGATAGTCTTTCAGGATTAGCTTCTGGTCGTCTAGTTCGTTTCGGCGGATGGTCAGGACTAGGCGCTTGATTGTGCGCCAAGAAACCATTGAGAGGTAGGACCCGGAGTCCACTTCCGTCTCGCAGGGCTGGTCCTCGATGCACAGGGCCACGTGTACCTTTCGGGCGTCCATGGTTGAAGAATGGCCGATGACGACCATCTGGTGGGTTTCCTCGCGCCGCTGTGCTTCGCTGAGTCATCTGCTGCGGCTGTCGCGGCTCCACCGGCTCTCAGTCGGTCAGTCTCGGTGCCTGGGGGGGGTGCCGTCTCGTCGTCGTGGGCTGCTTCCTCGTCGCTGTGGGCTGTAGCTCTTTTTGTTCCGGCACACCTTGGCGATGTGCCCCCGCTTCTCGCAGTGCCTGCAGATGGCGTCGAGAAAACGGCATTCGGAGCGGGGGTGATCGCCGCCGCAGCTGGCGCAATGGAAGCTCGACTTACGTCCCCTGCGATCCCGGCGGTCGCGCTCGGTCTGCAGCCGATGGATCTTCTCGTCGTCCTCGGTGTCGGATTGGGGTTCGAAGTCACCATGATGCGTGGTCGTTTCTCGCCGGCTGGTTTCCCCGGGCTTTGTGGTGGCTGGGGTCGCTTCGTTGGTCGGTGGCCGTTCGGTTGTGTTGGCTTGCCTCATCCGGGCTGCTGACTGGCGGGTGGCCTCGGCGGCGGTAGCCTCGGTGAGGGCGTCGGCGAGGGAGATGTTGCCTCTGGCCATCAGCCGGCTCTGCAGCACGGGGTCTCGGAGTCCGAGGACGACTCGGTCCCGAAGCGCCTGGTCCAGCTCGGGGAATTCGCAGGGGCCTCCCAGGTTCCGCAGCTGGGCCACGAAGTCGCCGATGGTCTCGCCTTCGCGCTGATCTCGGCGGTAGAAGTCGTGCCTACGAATGAGGATGGGCACGGTAGGGGCGTAATGGCGGCGCAACTTGGGCTCGAGGTCAGCCCAGTCCATCTCCTTGACGTTGGTAGGCTTCGCCAGCGCCTTGGCCATTTTGAACATCGCGCGCCCGCAGTGTGTTAGGAATACTGCCCGTTTTCTCTGGCCGTTGGCGTCCTTGAGGTTGCTGCACTCCAGGAACATCTGGAAGCGGTCGATGTATGACTCCCAGTCTTCGGTTGCTGGGTCAAACGGAGCGGGCGGCAGGGTGCTGGCCATCTTGTAGGGCGTTGATCACCGTTTGCCACGTGCTAGTTGGTCCTCGCCTCACGATCCCACCTTCGTCGCCAGTGTTAGATCGGTGGATCGGGTCACATAAGAGGCGAGACGCGAAAGTGAACAATCAGCTCTTTATTGTAGCTTCTGAACAAGGACAGTTAAAGTGTGCGAGCCACTTGGCTTTATACAGCCGGCCGGCGGCTCGGCGGCCAATGGCAGCGCTTTGAATCTCCCGCAATCGGCTCGGCCAATCACGGTAGATTCTTAGCGCTCCAATCACAGTCATTCAATGGACCAATCGGGTTGCGGTCCGGGTGGACCAATCAGAATGCGAGTCTTCAAGAATGTTAATACAGAACACCTTCCAAATCTCACTTCTCTCTATCCTAGTGTTTGCCAGTGGAGCCAAGAAAAATGGCTGTGATGAAAGATAGTGTCATATTGCAAAACTCACAATGTTTCTGCTTGCATCAACATGTACAAAGGATGTAAATATGCAATGGAGGGATGTGCACCATGACATTGATACCACAGTGTGCATTTCATCAATTTAATGTAATTTTGGTGCACCAAAATTGTCTTTGTTTGCATGCTCCTTTTCTGTCAAAAGGATTTTCTTGCATACACCTTTTATAAGTTGGTAGAAGCAATATCTGCCATCCAAGTCCAAACTTATCTTAAACAGTCATATTATCTGGAAAGGCAGCCACCTTTGAAGGTTTCCATTTATGAAGAGCACTTCAGCTCTCCTTCCCCTGTATCTGCAGTGTGAAGACTGCCAGCACTCTTTGCTTTAAAGACAGCCTTCCTCAACCTTGGCAACTTTAAGATGTGTGAACTTCAACTCTCAGGAGCATGCTGTCTATGGAATTTTAGGAGCTGGAAGTGCACACATCTTAAAGTTGCTGAGGTTGACAAATACTGCTTTAAAGGATCAAAGACAAAAGCTGTGATAATGTCTTTGTGGTTATGTTTTAATGGGCAAAAGAGATATTACAGATTCAAAATATATATAAATGTACATTATCTGTTCCCCAACATCACAGTATATTTCCTAATTTACAGGAATATTATAAGAACCTGAAGAAAATAGACTGGAGGTTTCCATCTTGTGGCAGGTAATTACCGGTACTTCTTACCTGAGTTGCAGAGATGAAGGCTCGGTATTCTCAGTTGGTGGAGATTCAGATACCTTGCCTTGGCTTTCCTCAGTTCTTATTACTTTGGCTTTATATTCTCCATAAACTGACTGATTATTCTCAAATCTGTAATGTTGTAGAACCATATCTACTGAAACCTCATTTCCCTTTAGAAAATAATCCAGAGCACAGTTAATTGGGTGGAAAAAGAACAGTAAAGGAGAATTAAATGGAATTGCTTCAGTTTATGAAAGCTCAAAAGAAATTAGTATTATCTGGAATTGATCTTATAATCATAGAATAATAGAGTTGGAAGGGATCTTGGAGGTCATCTAGTCCAACCCTCTACCTGAGCAGGAGAGTCTATTCCAAATATTAGCCTCTACCTAGGATGCAAAAAATTCCAGTGAGGAGAAAAGCTCAACACATTCCACTGTCTTTAGTAGAAATTAGTTGTTAGTCAATGGTAACTAACATTGCCTACATTATACACTGAGAAATGCATACGGCTGTCTTATTCCTGATAATTCTAAGTAAAAAAAACATAATACATTAAACTGCACAACAATATTCTATCATAGTACCACAAAGTCCCATGCATTCTACATTTATACTTGCTGAATTCATCCTAGCAGTCTGAAAGCAATCACTCCAGCAAAGATTGGCCATCTGAGCGAACACCAAATACAATTCAGGACAACTATCTACAAAGTCACTATGAATTGACATCAACTAGCAACAATACAGCTAAGCCCAGTAAAAATAATAAAATTCAAATCCAATTTCGTAAATTCAAATTGCAACTAAAACACAAAGCCTCTATAAACTGAATGTAAGCTACAATACTTCAAAATCCAGGAACCTTACCTCGTTCATCTGCTGCCAAAGAATATGTTTTTCCATCCTCAATGCATTAGCAATGTCCAAATTATCTTTAACAAGGGAATTAAGGGCTTCTATAGTTCCATACATCAATGCATGCATCAAGATGGAGATAAGCTTAATAATGTTGATTATTCTTTGCACAATACTTTCTGTTGTGAAGAGAACAAGCATAACCCACATATTATAGTTATAAAAACCGCTTCACTAATCTTGCTCTCAGGAATACTCATACACATATAGAGAATATTTCAATCTCTTTAACATTCAGATTTTCAAAATGCAAATAGTATTAATTAATCTGGTGGAGCTACAGAAAGAGAAAAATTTATCTAAGTATCTTATCCTACTACATTCCTTAGGAAAACCATTTCTCTGAAGTTGATACTTTGGGGGAAAGTACTCTAAAACTGTCACTGTGATTTTCTCCCAATTCTCCAAAAATTCTTCTTTTACAAAGAGATTTTTCTGAGTTCACCAGGAGAGTTCACCAGGAGAAGAAAGAGTTAAATACCGCCCTTGCTTATGATTTTAATAATTGCTATCAACTGTTGCAAAGTGCAAAAATGCATTTAATGTGATATCCATGGAGATATCTTCATATCTCCATGGAAATTTTTATTATACCTGCTTGATCAAAGTTAAAATCCCTGCAGTTAAATATACCTGCAATATAATATTAACAAGAAAATAAAGTTGGAGACACATGGAATAATAATGAAATAGACACTGTGTCAGAAAGTCATGATTATTCTTGGTAGATATGGTAAGCTTATTGACTCAAAATTTACTGTAGAATTTGTCCCTTCAAAGCAGCATAAAAATGTCACCACTATCACTATCATGGAATTAATCCCATTAAAATTTAATTTGCAGGGCATTTGTACACTGTAGCCTTCAGCTACTTGTCTCCCATGCGTAAACTGGAAATGAAAACATCTTAAGAAATCCCAAATAGACAGAATAATAGCCAGGTGTCCTGTCTCTACTGCAATTAGCACAGATCCTCATTGCTGGATTCCTCTGCTTCCCCTTTGATGACATGGCCTTCTTGCCACCCTTCCAAGACCGGTAGGTTGAGTTATAACCCTGAATACCTTGATGATTACTCACCTGTGACCTACATGAGAGATAGATGATTGACTCATTAATTTGTACGCTAATGATTTCTGTACAATGGAATTAATTACCTGATTTATCCAAGTCCTCTTCAGAAGCCAGTATCTCGATATTTTCATCAGAGGATTCCAAACTGACATTAGCTAAACACACAAAAACAAAACAAAAACTAAAAAATCAGAACAGCATCCCAGAATTATGACTTAGGCCAATGCCCTTGATGAAGGGACCAAAGTTATATATTGAGGTTTCCACCTTTCCATCAACAAGAATTTAAATTTATTTTTAAGTGGAAAAGTTTCCAAAATATATTAATACGTGGTGGTAGGTGCTTTAAAATACAGTATTGTCCATTTCTAACCAATCATAAGTATAAGTACTCCTACCTTTTTCAATCCCTGGCAATTGCTCGTTTTTCCTTTCCTCCTCTTTGGTATTTTTTTGACTACTGATTTCATCTTGCTCTCTCATATTTTGAGCTGATTTTGTATTCCTCATCGAGGCTTCATATGCAAGCTGCAAAGAGGACAGAATCTTATTGAGCAATGGCTAGCCTGGGGTAGAATATATTAAATTATCTCCTACTGAATTTCTGCCTATCTTTAAACAAAATGGTGAGTTTTGTACAACAGCCAAAACAAAGAATAAAATTGATGTACTGAAAGAAAATAGAATCTAGTTCCTCTCCCCAGTTTAACTACTTCTGAAGCCATTAGGGGAGGACAACCATTGACATGAGGCAGTTGTTAAGTGAATTGCTGCAATTGTTAAGTAAGAGTAACAGTTAAGTGAATCTAATTTCCCCACTGACTTTGCTTGTCAGAAGTCAGCTGGAAAGTTTGCAAATGGCCATCACATGACACTGGAATACTGTAATTTGGGTTGCAGTGATCACATGACCCTGGGAATGCTGCAATGGTTGTAAAGGCGAGGATCGGATGTAAGTCACGTTTTTCAGTGCCATTGCAACTTTGAATGGTTGCTAAATGAATGGTTGTAAGTCAAGGGTATAGAATTGTATTCCCACAAAGTGTGAATGAGCTGTTTTTCCTACCATTTAAAAATAACTACAAGCCTATGTGCTATTTTCATTTGTTCTCAATCACTTCCCCAGCACAGGTTTTTTTCCCTTCAGAAATTGGTCACACCTGCCATGCTGTTTTCTTTTTAAATAATTCTTTTTTTTTCATTTCAGAGTGTTCATGTTCTTCTTCATCTTCACTATCTGTATCAAAAAGGCAATAGCTCCCACTTCGAATCACTGAAATTGACAGGAAATCCAGATATTAAAAACCTCTTATGGAATTATCTGCCACATGGACAAAACTCAGATTTTTCAGCCAAGTTTTCTGCTCTTCAAAGATTGCAGCTCTGCTGCCACATTGCTTACTCACAAATACTAAAACCAATTAAAATAGCTTTTTATCTAATCTGGTGTCCTGCAGATGAAATTAACTTCAGCTCCCTTCTATTCAAGCCAATTGTAGCCTAACCCATCAGAAGAAAATTAGGTAGAAAAGATGGAAAACCGTAATTGTTTAGCCAAACATTTCACTGTTAAGCTACTGCACTTGCATGAAAGAGAGCTATATGCAGTACCTGAAGATGACACCTATATTTTTTGTAAGTCCTTTTCATTACATATATTTTAAAAAAAACCTTTGACTATTAACTCAAAGACATTTTTTGATCCACCAAAATGTTTTTAACCAGCTGATTTAACTCATTGATCATGCTGTTTTAAGCCTAGTAATAATCATTTTACAACATAAACGTCAAAAAAAAACCATGGACAAGTTGAAAAGATGGAAGATTCTGTTCAAAGGGGATGCCAAGTAAATAGACCTTTTCTTAGTAAGCACAGGTAATTTACCTGAATTATGTGTCACCCATGGCTGCCACCAATTATTTTTATTCTTTTTTTCTATCTCGCTGGTATCATCTCCTGCAGAAAAGACAAAAAGAATTACTCAGTAAAAAGTGCCTTAAGAAAAAAAGAGAAAAATTTTACTCAACCTGTCACTTTCCAAATATCTAGAAATTGGAGTTCCCAGAATTCCCAGATTTCATGACCAAGCATGGGCATCTATAGGGTCAGGGGGTAAGTAATGATGTGCAAATGACATTGTCACACAAACATTGTGGCTAATACAGTCATTGTAGCAACAGCAAAATTTGAGAATGCCATCATTACCAAAATACCCATGACATTTTAGTGTCGTTTATTTTCAAGATAAACAGAAATAATACTTGTTATATATCAGCATCGAGCTGACCTTGGTTTATCTCAAAAGCTAGTTTGGTAAAAGCCTTTTTCATGTTTGGAATCCAGTGAAATTCCAGGACTCTAGACTGGTTTGAGAAGTTGAAAACAATAAAAGACAATCCATGTCTATGTTGATAAAAAAAGTACGCAGATGTGTTCATGAAATCAATGGGATTATTCAAAAGAAATTTTAGAAGCGCAGTCATTCACACCAAACAAATACTTAATATGTGTGTGAGAGATATATACAGATAGTTCTCAACTTATGACCATAATTGATCACAAAATTTATATTGCTAAGTGAGACATTTGTTAAGTGAGTTTTGCCTCATTTTATTACTTTTCTTGCCATGCTTGTTTAATAAATCATCGCAGCTGTTAAGTTAATAACCTGGTTATTCAGTGGATTTGATTTCCCCATTGACTTTGTTATCAGAAGGTTGCAAAAGGTCCGGGATTTTCTAAGCAATAAGGCTTAGATGTTTTGTGGAAAAAAATGAGGGTTTTTACCTGGATCTTGCTCTTCCAATTTCTGATCAGGTTCTGCTTCTAGTATTTTGCAGGAACTTTGGTTTTTAAATTTTGGTTTAATCAGGTCCATCCTCAAAAAAATCACAAAAGAACAGATAATTTCCTGCCTCCCCAAAAAGTCAAGGATGCTTTTATACTAATATAACTGAGATTTTTTGAAAGACTATGCTAGTATTATGATTTCTCTCCTTTCTTTCTTTTGTGGGCTTCTCTTGCTTACCAATGTAGAATTGAGCATATATTCTTCCTATGAAGCCTAAAGTACAAGATATCTGAAATTTGAGCTTATTTTTTTTCACAATAATCTGTACCACATTTCCGTATTTGTGATGAGTGCTATCAAGGAGCATAATTTCCATTTAGCATCTTTAATATATCAAGATCCTTTCATCGAGAAGATGTTTGGGGGATATTTCACACCAGCTGTAAGTATTTTTTGCAGTTTTGATATGGATTTAGACATGCAGGCTTCTTTGGACTACTGAAGACAACAATAATTATGTATTTGTATTTGTAAATTGTCTCAAATTTCACAGATTTTATCTCATGAACATGTTGTATGAGATAACTACAGTTTATGCTACAGCTGAAGAAAAAGCTGCCACAAAAACAAAATTTAAGAAAGAAAGACGAAGTATCTATCCAATACTTCTGGTCACAAAGAACAATCTGATTGAAAGCTATCCAGCCTACATGGGTGACATTAATAATATTGACATATTAAAATGAAACTTTTTGCCTTTAAGCTGAAGACCCATCTTTACTGCCTTTCCCTATCTCAGAAGAAAATAGGTTTGTCATATTTCCTAGGTATGTTTTTTGATGCTGCTGAAACTGAATGAAGAAACTTACTGCTTTTTCATGATTTCCGTTGCTTTTCTATCTTGTTCCATCCGAGAAGTCACCTTTTTTTCCAGCTTCAACTCAAACATCTCAGCTGCCCTGTTTTGAAAAATAAGTTGAAAAAATCTTTCCAAAATTGTGCCTTGTTAGATCAAGGATCTAATTTATCCAGCATTACTTTTTTTTTCTACATTAGAATGGTAGCCAGTGAGCTGCCTTTGTAGGAAATCTATGAAGCTTACAGATTGCTATATTGATAATATTCAGATGTGTACTATCTCCAAACAGATGTGTATGCAAAGGAACTATTTAATTAATATTGCTAACAGCAGAGGAATTTACAACAAAATTTTAGAACATGGAATGCACCTATTATTTTCTATTGTCTGTACCATGTGGCTTTTTCTTCCAACAATAATCAACAATAGTCAATAAACATGCCCAGTCTTTGCTCTTTTGGAATCATCTCCCCTTAATCTTGGCAACTGAAGATCAGAACTGTTATGTTCGTAGGCTGGATCCCTCAAATATGTGGGGTTGAAATTTGCGGAATTTTCAGGCAGCATAAACTGAAATTCCCTACAATTAATTATTTGTATAATATTAAGATTTTTAAAGATCACATAAAAACTAACAAAAACTATGAAAATCCCTACTCAAGCCATTTATATATATGTGTGTGTATATGCCAACCAATTAAAAAAATCAGAATCCATTAATAATCAGCAATTTATTAGACAACTGCATTTATAGAAACTTTAATTCTCCAAAACCTCAAAATATTATTTTCATAAAGAAGATAGTTCCCCTTATGCATAACAATCTAATTAAAAATGTGCAGTGAAATTCACTGTTGGAGAATTATTTTCCCTTATATCACATCTGGAAATAGAACATATTAGCAACCAACAGTGCTGAAAAATATAAGCAAATCAAAGCCTAATCAGGAATGCTATAACTTGAAAAAATGATATATTATGACTAGAGACACAGTTCTAATAAAAGCTACTCCTTTTTTTAGAAATTGTGGGAATGATTCCATGATATTAGGAACCCACATTTGCCCAGGAAATTTGAATAGGTAATCCATATTAATTAAATAATTAATGTTGTTCTGAAAAATCACCACAATCCTTGCTCAATCTGTAGTCACGTGATTAGAAGGACATAGTCACCAGTTTCCCTAGTAAATTCAAGAAAAGCTTAAAGAGAATAACTTTAAGGCAATGTTAAAATTTTCAGGGCACTAGATTTATTTTATTTATTTATTTTGTCAAGCGATTATTAGATAACAGGTATAAGTATAAACATGGATATGAATACATGAAATGGATTACGAATAAGAAAAAAAAGAAACAATAGGACAGGGATAGTAGGCACATTGGTGTGCTTATGCACGCGCCCCCTATAGACCTCTTAGGAAAGGGGTGAGGTCAATAGTAGACAGTCTAAGGTTAACGTTTTTGGGGTTTGGGGAAGAAACCACAGAGTCAGGTAGAGTATTCCAGACATTGAATAGATGCTTTAACATCCCACTTAGTTCCATGTCAGTTATCTGCTTAGATGTTAATTACATCAGTTCATCTCCCATCTTTAGCCTTGTTTCCATCTCCACTTACAATAAACAATTGCAATATTTTAAATTCAAATATTGTTTATAAATACCTGGAGGCTAAGAAATCTGTAGCCTTGAGATCAGTCACAATATAGAGATAATAGTGGCTCATAAAAACTCTTCTCTGAATCAGCAAGAATGTGAAACATACTGCATCCCACAGTATTCCTGCTTCATTTTTGGGCAATTCACATATCTCATTATTAGGTGGATCTGTGCAGAAACAATATATACAAACTTGTTTTTCTAGGTGGTAAGTTGGAAATGTACAGTTTCCCTACATACAGTTTCCCTACAGGAAGAATCATGTTGTTGTTGCTGCTGGTCTTGCTGTTGTTAATATTAACAGATTTATACAAATTTGCATTTTGTGCAATGTAATGTGAATATTGTGGAGACCATGAATGAAATTATTTTTCAGAGATAGCAAAGATAACTTTAGCTCTCCCAAAGAAAACAAATCACAAACTATGTTTACTTTTATTTATCCACAAAACAAAACAAATAAATTCATTACGGCTTCTCTATCACATTATATGGATAAAATTCCACAAAACTACAAAGTATATCCTATTGTAAAGTAACTCTAACCCTCAACAGAGAATATATTTTTGCATAGAAATAATCCAAGCTATCACCTTCCATACATTTGATTTAAGGGAAAGTGACCTTTTAGTTAAACTTTATTACTGGTGAACATAAAGTTGCTAATTTCTTGGTAATGATACAGAAAAGATTTACCATTGTTTTCTTTCAGGATATGTTTTCAATTTCCAATCTAGTCTAAAGTCTTGGGAATTCTTGATAGTCTCTATTAATCCTACAGAACCTTTTTGATCTGAGTTTAAAAACTTGCTTTTCTGCTTAGGCAACACGAATCTCCTGAATCTATAGAACATATTTATAAAATTCAATCAAATCTTGTATAGCAAACCTACATTACTATGTATGAAGGCTCTCATAATTTAATGTACCAGTGGAGAAGTTTCCAGCTATCTGTATCAATCTGAAACTCATGAAGGAGCACAACAGATGAATGAGTATAGGCAATTGCAGGTGAAACTCGAAAAATTAGAATATCGTGCAAAATTTCATTTATTTCAGTAATGCAACGTAAAAGATGAAACTAATATATGAGATAGACTCATTACATGCAAAAAGCAAGATAGTTCAAGCCGTGATTTGTCATAATTGAGATGATTATGGCTTACAGCTCATGAAAACCCCAAATCCACAATCTCAGAAAATTAGAATATTACATGCAATCAATAAAACAAGGATTGTACATAGAACAATATCAGACTTCTGAAAAGTATAAGCATGCATATGTACTCAGTACTTGGTTTGGGCCCCTTTTGCAGCAATTACTGCCTGAATGCGGTGTGGCATGGAAGCTATCAGCCTGTGGCACTGCTGAGGTGTTATGGAAGACCAGGATGCTCCAATAGCGGCCTTCAGCTTTTCTGCATTGTTCGGTCTCATGTCTCTCATCTTTCTCTTGGCAATGCTCCATAGATTCGCTATGGGGTTCAGGTCAGGTGAGTTTGCTGGCCCAATCAAGCACAGTAATCCCACGGTCATTGAACCAGGTTTTGGTGCTTTTGGCAGTGTGGGCAGGTGCCAAGTCCTGCTGGAAAATGAAGTCAGCATCCCCATAAAGCTCATCTGTGGAAGGAAGCATGAAGTGCTCCAAAATCTCCTGGTAGATGGCTGCATTGACCCTGGACTTAATGAAGCACAGTGGACCAACACCAGCAGATGACATGGCTCCCCAAATCAACACAGACTGTGGAAACTTCACACTGGACTTCAAGCATCTTGCGGTGCGTGCCTCTCCATTCTTCCTCCAGACTCTGGGTCCTTGGTTTCCAAATGAGATGAAAAAGTTGCTCTCATCAGAAAAGAGGACTTTGGACCACTGAGCAAGAGACCAGTTCTGTTTTTCTTTAGCCCAGGTAAGATGCTTCTGATGTTGTTTGTTGTTCAGGAGCGGCTTGACAAGAGGAATATGACATTTGAAGCCCATGTCCAGGATCCGTCTGTGTGTGGTGACTCTTGATGCACTGACTCCAGCCTCAGTCCACTCCTTGTGAAAGTCCCCAACACTTTTGAATGGCCTTTATCTGACAATCCTCTCCAGGCTGTGGTCATCCCTGCTGCTTGTGCACCTTTTTCTTCCACACTTTTCCCTTCCACATAACTTTCTATTAATGTGCTTTGATACAGCACTTTGGGAACATCCAACTTCTTTTGCAATTACCTTTTGAGGCTTTCCCTCCTTATGGAGGGTGTCAATGATGGTTTTCTGCACAACTATCAGGACAGCAGTCTTTCCCATGATTTGCTTCCTACTGAACCAGACGGAGAGACCATTTAAAGGCTCAGGAACCCTTTGCAGGTGTTATGGCTTCATTAGCTGATTAGAGTGGGACACTTTGAGCCTAGAATATTGAACCTTTTCACAATATTCTAATTTTCTGAGATTGTGGATTTGGGGTTTTCATGAACTGTAAGCCATAATCATCTCAATTATGATACATTAGGGCTTGAACTATCTTGCTTTGCATGTAATGAGTCTATCTGATATATTAGGTTCACCTTTTAAGTTGCATCACTGAAATAAATGAACTTTTGCACGATATTCTAATTTTTCGAGTTTCACCTGTACTTTCAGAATAATTATCTGTCTTATTCTGGATAAGAGTTCTTATCTAGCTGCCCTCACATTATCTACTGTGATTGGCCACTGCTTTTTAAGATTTTTCCAAGGACTTAGGAACAATTGAGACTAAGATTTTTTGCATGGAAATCAAACATTCTACTATTAAGCTTCTTCCCCAGATGCAACATTTTATATTCTTTTTGGTTACTTGTGGTACTTATCCATATATACATGAGTGCCTGTGGTGACATCTATACATGCAAATGGGAAGATTAGAGAAAGAAAAAATAATAATTAAAAACTTTTCTGCCAGTTTCAGACTAAAATTTCTATTTTCATGGCAAGAGTCATAATCATTATACTATTAGGTGTTCATGCTAAGGGAACTCAAAGGTGCTTTTTCAAAAGGCTACTGGGCTTTTGTTGTTTTTTCTTGAAGATGTTTCACTTCTCATCCAAGAAGCTTCTTTAGTTCTGACTGAATGTGGAGAATAGAAGGATTTATATTTCTTGCAATCATCTTGTTATCAACACTCTCTCTGAGAGTTGTTGAGGCCACTTGGAGTTTTATCTGTGTCACCTGAACAGTGCAAACGGGTGTGGAACCTTCTTGGAACTGCTGAAAGGACAGTGTTGTAAACATGTGATAGGTTGTATTGTATTCCTCCCCTTCTGTTGAGAGACTGTTCAATTTCAATGTAGATGGCTTCTTTGACCCCTCTTCAAATCAGCAGTCCTCTCTGTTCAGAATGTGGACTGTCTTCAAAAGAGTGTCTTCAAAAGAATGGCCTTTGTCTTTCAAACGCAGATGGACTGCTGAATTCTCTCCTGATCGGTTTTTTCTCCTATGTCGTGCCATGCTTTGTTTCTCCAATGTATTGTAGAATTAACACCACTATATTGAAAGACCATAATCTACCATCCAGGTCCAGTGCAGATCAATAGATAGATTATTTTGACTTTCTAGCCCCAGGCTGAGGGAAATGCCCCAGAATCACTCATTTGGCTTTTGTGCCCAAGGGAGGACTAGAACTTGAATCTCTCAACTCCTAGTCTTACAACTTAACACACACAAACTCAGGAAGTAAAGTGGAGAAATAATTTTCTTTTAGGAATATTTGGGATGCCTTATAATATAAAGACTTATTGACAAATCAAATAAATAAATCAAATAAATAAATAAAAGACACTCTTTCTATTGAATTGCTTCCCACTTACCTACTTCATATCCTGGTATTGTGCAATACATAGCAAAGGTCTGAATTAGCCAACAATAGTTTATTTGTAATTTATTAAGGTATGCACATGATCCAATCTGTAGGGGAAAAAAGGGAGGAAAAAGAACAATTTAGCAGGGATTAGGACTCCAAATCTTTTATCAGTTATCAGAAATAACCACCTATCATGTATTTCTCTTTTAGATTTTGAAAAAGCATGTTGGAAGCTGCATAACCCCAACCTCTGCAACCAATTGTACTACATCCCTTTAAGAATTATGAGCAGTGTCTAACATGTCTTATTTCCCAATGAGAATTACAATGTACTGCACTTAAATTGCTCCTGCATCAACAGTGGTTCCAAACTATATTTCTAAAGATTATGCCAAAATATTGACATTTCTCTCATTACCCCTTTAAAAAGAGGCTTAAATTTCTCCTTTTCTACCTTCTTCTTAGAATACTTGAGAATTTCCTTTAAATTTCTCTCCTTGGTACTTTGAAGCCTAGTTAATTTTGGAATTGCTATCTCTGTTGTTTTCTGCTGCATAGCTTTCCACCATTCTCAAGCTTCTTTAGCCATCCTAATTTCTCAATTTCAAAAATGCCCAGTGGGATAAATTACTTAAGAAAATGTCCTTGGGATCAAATCAAATTCCTTTAAGATTTAAATATAAGAAGCTATGAAGATTGCAGATCTCTGAAAATCAATTTGTATGCCAAAAAACAGGACCTCCATATCTACTTCATATCTAAAAAGAGCAAAAACATGAGAAACTCTTCTATCTTTTGAAACACCATTTCAAAACAAATAAACAAATCTTTTTCCATCCAATTAAAGAGTGTTAGAAATAAATGTAGAATAGCTGTTTTTCTGAGGCAGTTTACAATAAAGAAATACTTTTGCCCAGCCTCACCCAAACATTAACCCACTACGTACAGCAAGAAGATTCTTTACTGTTATAACCAAAGTAGTGTAGCCAATCAAGTAGTCCCATGGTCTAAGAATGTCTCTGAGGGGCTTCAGCTGAAGGCTTCGTCCAAAGTGCATAAAGTAAAAGCAGGCAACAAAGTAGCCCACAGAGAAAATATTGATCCTGGCTGTCGCAGTCACAAAAATTAGGCAAAGGGCAATCCAGAAGAGGTACTTGAATATAAGCACTTTCATCAGATCCAAATAAGATCTGTTCAGAAGAAAATCATGAGAATAGAATTAATGTCAGCGTTCCAACTAAACTCTCCATCCCAAATTCAGCACTCAGAGACAAAGTCCATCCAAGTAAGAATGTATTGAGAAGTCATATTGGCACATCTGAGGGAAACCTGAATCTGAATTCCCACATTTTCTGCCCTCTGCACTAAAACTCACACCCTGCCCTATTGATGACTCTCAAGTCACACTCTCCAATCCACCTCAATTCTGAACTCTCACCAAGTCCAGTCACTCCCCTCTAAATCCCAGTGACTTGACCTTGAGCTATGATGAAAGAATGTTGTTGCGGCTGTCCTCCCTTTTCACTACTCTCCCATTCCCGTAGCATGCCCATCCCCCACTGTGGCAGCCCTAAATCTGAATCAAACTGACAATTAATAGAAACTAGATTGTATAGTAACAAGGAAATCAAAGACAGAATTGGCCATAGGTTCTACAGAATGTGCTGATTCAATTCACTCACTGTATAAAGTAAGTTTGTTTATAACTATGGCCTTTTGGGATTAGGGTTAGGGTTAGGGTTGACATAAGGTCCCAAAATGTAGGAGCCACCAATGCTGCCACTTCTTCCAAATTATTCTAAAAATGAAAACCTGTGCATTAGCAGGTGGTGGCACCACCAGTTAATGGCACCATATACCTTGAGCTGGCACTGCTCTCAATACCTGAAAAAAATCCACATTATATTAAGAAGTAGTCCCAAATTCCAATAGTTGTACCAGCCAGGAATTATGAGAGCTTTAATCCTACATATCTAGAGGACAGTATATTGTAAAGTTGGTCTGTTCCTGGAGAAAACCCAAACATAAACATGTTTTCCTTTATTTCTTACCTGCAATGGATAAAGTTTGGTACCCAACTGAATTCACTGAGACCTGCTGGGCCCAAATCTTGATTAATCTCTGAGTTATCTCCAGCTTGCAGCCTGACTACAAGCTGATCCTCATCTTCAAAAACTTGCCATTGTAAGGAAGCAAAAAGCAGAAGAAGGAAATCATCTGCCATAAAGAAGGAAAGTTATATATGTGTGTAAATATATATATATTTATATATATAAATAAATCTGGAAGATTTCAACTCTACCTTCTTACCATAACATGTTTCTCCAAGAAGGCACTTTTTAGCATCTGTGATAAGTAGTCATATAAAAATGTCATCTTGCTATCAATTACAGAAAGGGCCATGCTCTAAAAATAAGTTACATTTCCTCATTAAGCAGATATTACCCTTTCCAAATTATACTTACACAGGAGAAAATTAGTATTGGGTCTTTCAGCAAAATCAGGCAGATAAAGCCACTTAATCAGATTTGATGGGAACAACCAATGGGAACTTCTCCATGGATAATCTGCCAGCAAAGAGATCAACCTCATTATAGAAAACTTCTTAAAGTAATTTACAAATTTGCTGTCCATATAAGTTTGATGCAAAGGGAGCTGCTGAACATCAGTGGCAAAGCCAGCCCTCTGCTCAATTATGGCTATTACCCTCCGCATGACATATCTCTGCTTCCCCACACAGTGCTGCATTCACCTTGGCACAAAGCAGGTGGGAGACCAATACAAAGCAAATACTGAAAGGCCACAATGCTGGCAAGGAAGAAACAGTATTTTGGCCAGACTTGGGCTATTGCTTTCCTCTGACGGTAGCTCAACAGGTAAGTCAGCCAACTTGCATGGATAAGTGCATAGAGGTCCATGCGTTGCCCAATCACATTAACTGCCGCCACAAAGCATATCTGAAAAAAGGAAAAGAGGCAACTGAGCTAACATTACAATGGCTCCAGGCTGAAGGGACTTAACACTGAGTGCAAGAACTGAATCTGCATACAGGTAGTACTCAACATATAACTATAAAGAGTCTGCCCATTGTGGTCATATGTTGTGATGATTATATAACTGGTACGTCACAATGTTTCTTGTGATGGTTGTTAAGCACTGTGGTTGTTAAGCAAACCAATGGTTCACTATGGGCATTTTTGTGTGTTACCTTCTATAGACAGACAAACTCATAGTACTTCATTAAATGAATTATATACAAGTAGGGGAAAGGGCAATTTTGATACACCAATGACAGCAATTCACCATCTGTACAATCCAACATAGATGAATTCAGTATTTCCTAATCCAGTAACTTTGAGGTCTGTTATGATTGTAACTTCCAGAGTCCCCAATTAACATGCCTAGAAGAGAATTTTTTTTGTAACATGGCTAAAGAATTGTGGATATCAGTCTCAAAACATTTGAAAACATTGGACAGGAGTATGGAGTCTTATCTACATGTTTGTAGGGAAGACAGATGGATTTCTCTCTGAATTCCCAAAACTATAAACTGAGATAGTCCATAATGTGAACCAGGTGTCAGAAAGCTTCACCTTGCCACAGCACTTGGCTCTCTAGCGCCACGTCAGATTATTTCCTACTTGAAACCGAACATCTTTTGTCTTCTAAGCTGCCTGTCTCATTCCCCAATACCAAGAAGTTATGCTCCTTTCTTACCAACATTTTCTCACCTCCAGTCCAAATTTGTAAAAACTATAGTTGAGACAGTATTTAATGCAGTTGAGTAGCCCTTCGTCCAAGTTCTCCCGGCCAATATTATTAAAAAGGCTACCTGTGACAGGTGGTAATATTTGATTCTGAGTCCAGTAAAAATATTGGTGGCGATACACAGTTGCTTCTAAAGCCATCAGAATCAGAATGGTGAGATGGTTCTAAGAAATATAGGAAAATACATCCTTCATAAGAATGTTCAGTTCCCCAAGTACCCTACCTACCTAAAGCATCTATGTTTTTCCTCTTCAATAGCTCACCCTACTGAGACAACTATATACTTGCTTATGATGGTCATTATTCACGAATCATTCTCTTTGGTGGAAGACAGAACTATCTTTCTTATGATCCTCCTTAATAGTAGATGAATGGAAATCAAGTACTAGTGCAAAAGTATGATTTAGGTCTGCTTCTGAACATCTAACAGACCATCTGTTTTAAATAGCAAAATGTCTTGAATCAGTCTTGTTCCTAATTTTAAAATGATATTACAAAGTTTATCTGATATTATTAGGCAAACATCAGTTTTCTCATTAGAAGAACTAATCTCAAAATCACTGTCTTAAAAGCAAAAAGATACATTTTGTAATATTCTCTTGCTTACCATAATATTAGTGGCTAAATAGAGTCCTACCTTTAGAGAAAGAAAAATATTGTCACTGCACTTCATCAGCCCTCCAATCCAAAGTGCTGGGTCAATTGGTGCTACGTACAAAGATGATTTCTCCAAAAGCTCATCAACATTGATAGAATGGTAAGTTATATTCAAATGCAGATCCTGAAGAAATGGACATTTTATTCACTCATTCATTCATTCTTCATTCATTCAGTTTATATGGCATCTATTAGCCAAATACTTCTGTTTTCAAAATTCTATTACTTCATATTTAATTTATATGGTAGCTCATTGGCCAAATGACTCTACAGTATACAATTGTACTTCTTGTTTTCATTTTTAAAGAAAAAGAACAGGCAAAAAAGCCTTCAAAGGAAAAAATAAGGGGGCTTTATTTCATAAAAATACACTTTCATTTCTTTATTTTCTTCAAACCTCCCCACTTCTACTCCATACTAATCATAAGTCATACAGGTTGGAAATCTGGGGATTGCAATTCCAATATATCTTGAAGATACCAAATTGTAGAAAGTTAAGTTAATCATCCGAAATGTGCAAAACATTCTGTATATGATTAAGGGAGCTGGAATACCTTCAAGGAAATATAAAAAAAATACTTGAGAATTTGGATCTATTAGTACACTGACCTGAGTGCAGTTTGAGGAATAATTCCAGGGCTTGATAAATTTTAGCTGATATAACATTTTACAGATGACCATCACACAAGACCAAAATGTACAGATTCTTGAGGCATACAGACGAAATTTGGAATAAGGAATAGCAAATGTCCACACAATAAAGAAAACATAATTCATCAAACACACCTACAGAAAATTGGAGACAAGCAAAGAAAGTAAAAAGCAACATATTTGCAAACAATTCATTTTCAGTCTTGATCAAGCGAAGCAGATGATCTAATCCAGGTTGGAAAATTTACCCTCAAACTAAGTCATAGTAATAGCAGTTTGATTTTTCATGCATCTGTAGCTAGGTACAATATATAATATACTGATCAAGATGCTGATGAAGAAACACACTATATCTATAATCACAACTAAATTTTAGAGCCTTTGTAACTTGAAGAACCCATAACATACCTAAATAACATTCTAAGTTATTAATTTATTAATGCAAATCTACATTAAATATTAACAAATCAACTTCATGAAGAAAAGGAGTGTTCTTTTCTTTAAAATTTATATCCAGATTTATTTTGTTCTGCTTTCTTGACTGAATTACCTTACTTCCTGGTTTTTCCTTTGAACTATTTCCCAGATGAGATAGTTATTTACTAACCTCTTGAAGTGTGATCCAGATAGTGCAAGTGGACACAATCTTAAGGATGTGCAGCTCCAGAAATCTCCATGCAAACACCTGCATATCCTGAGCTATTGCTATGATCTTCAGAAGACAAAGTGCCAAATTGTCTACCTCTTCTGCCCATTTGTTCCTCTTTACCTCTAAAAAGAAAAGTAATTGATTTAAAAAAAAAAGCAGAATGAAAAAGGACCTGGGATTTGCTCAAAAGTTTGCACTTTAAAAATGTCTCAATGAATGGATAAATGAATAACATGGCAGAGAGAAATATGATAAAACTACTGCTGTGACCATGGAAAAAATATTAGTTTGATTAAAATATTGGTAATTTTTTTTGAAAATATGCAGTTATGTAAATAAAGTATGACTATTAAACTGGGTTGGATTTGCATATGAATTCATTCGCTCTTGGCTTCTTAGGGAATTCTGAGAATTGAAATTCATACACCTTAAAGTTGTCAAGTTTGAGAAATATTGATTCAAAGTGTGATGCTGTAATCTGCACCAGCCAAGAATATCTGCCAGAAATTCATCAGTGGGGAGATTCATCCCACTGATGAATTTTGTTCCTCAAATCAAAAAACAGCAAAAAAAAAAACCATGTTGTTTTGTAGTGGGATTGGGAGACAAAATATTACATTTACAAAATGAATGCCAAATGAATTAAAATAAAGCAAACCATTATTTTCTATATTTCAATAGAAGAGTTCACTTTTCCACCTTACCATTTTCTGTGGTATTCTCAGACTTGTCCAGTCCATCTGGAAAAGACTTTTGTAATGGCTCAGGAGCCAGCCTGTTTAAAATACGTTAGAATAGCTATTGCATGGTTAATGAAACAAGATACAAATTAGGTCATTCAGGTAATTTTTTAAAGTTATTTTTCTTTATTGTGTATTTATTGATCAAATTTACATGCTGCTCATCTTGTGTTGTATTACAGATAATGAGAGAGACAATAACGACTGACAAGTAAATATTTTCCAGGAATATTTTAAGAAAACCTAAAGAAAAGGAATGTTAGACTTGCATTCTACATGGCACTGCCCTCAAAAACCATCCGGTATCTTCAACTACCAGTAGTTCAGAATGCAGCAGCACAGGCAGTGTTGGGCACGCTGGTTACTACCTGTAAAGCCCTTCATGGCAAAGGGTCAGGATGCTTGAGGAACCACCTGTCTCCCATTGTGTCTGATCCACTCTGGCAGAGCTGGCATTGCATTATTTAATCAGTAGGATCTACTGATTAAATAACGCAACTTTCAGGACATTGGAAGTGGGCTTTCTCTGTTGCAGCCTCAGTCTTCTGTAATAAGATTCCCCTTAGATTCAAGTGGCCTTGATTCTTCTGGTATTTAGAAAGGCCTTGAAGACATAGCTTTTCACTCAGCCCTCTGTGAATCCTTTTCTTTTTTCCCATTTTTTCTTGCAGTTTCTTATATTTTTTATCTATTTTTAAATATTTTTTAAAAAATGTTAAACTACCGAGAGTTTCTGGGAGTCAGGTTGCATATGTTTAATAAACTCATTCTCCATAGGACTGTCCTAAAGACCAACCAAAAACTTAGTTGGTCTAAATTGAAATGACCCATATAGTTAATCAGTACTACACTGATTAACTATATACTTTCAAGTGCAATTCAAGGCACTACTTTTATAGTATTGAATGGTTCAGAGTCTAGGTAACTTTTTTTCTGATAAAATCTGTCCACCTGACCTGCATAGGTTTCAAAGGTTAAGCAGATTCAAACATTTAATATTTTATGCATTTCAATCTCACCCACTTTGCAGTTTTTGGAGTGTTTCTTTAACCCTGAAAAGATTAAAAAAAAAAAACAAGTGACATTGCCAGTTCAGAATTTCCCAAAATCTGGATTTTAGACAAAGACTTTTCCAACTGCTACCAGAAACATCTAACTGGAAATGCCAGTTAAGGACATCAATAACCTTTCAATGAGCTACAGCTCTTTTAGCAGGATCTTATAGTGCAAGTATTTACATATATATTTAGAAATAAGAGTGTTTGAATTCAAGCTCACTTACTTCAAGTAAATCTACTTATGATTGCAACACTCAGCACCCTAACAATATGCAGAAATGCATCCCTTCCTGGAACATGACATTTCAATAATTGCTGACTCTAATTTCATACTTTTACCAATAGTTTATTTTATCCGGGTTTTAAAAGTACTTATGGTTTAACTCTAGTAAGCAAGTTAATAATCTCTTAACTTTGGCTAGCTTTCAGCTTGATCAATAACTGGCAAAGGTGTGCCAATCCTTTAGTAAAAGTGTTTCACAACACAAAGGAGTGCATGTATAAAGCATCTCTTCAAAGCATTAAAGTCCTGCATCTTTTTTCAGTCTTACACAGCTGCCTCAAAGGCTGCTTCAGGCTGACTCTTCATATGTATGTATGCACATCCTTGTGGAATTTTTTTTGAAAAGGATTTGCATAGCTAGTATCTGTTAAGCATGCATGGCTAAAGTAGAAGCCTGTCAGAGACACAAATGACTGACAATGCAAACAAGAGTTAACATCACAAACTCAGATCTACCTGGAAACATTTATTTTCTTATTTATGTATTAACCATATTTTACACTGTCTTACTGAACACTTCACAATAGTTTACAAGAAGTTGCATATGAAACATAAAAACAGACTACATGAAATTGTACCATTCTTTTTTTTCTAGACAATGTGTCATTTGCAAGAAAAAGTTTCAAGAGATAAAGCTAACTCACCTATTAGCCAAAAGACACACAAGAATTTCCATTTGCTTGTCACTGGAGAGAAACAGAACATAAATCTCAGTATCTATTCAATTCCAATTACTGAAAGCCAGTATCATATTAGCAAAGATATTCTATCCCTTAAAGAGAAAATCCTTCTGGTTTCACTTTCCATATTCTATAGCCCTCCCATATTTGATAATCTGCCTCAACAGACAGCAGCATCCGATAAACCTCAATTGGTCTAGGAAACTAATTTGTGGATTGAAACACTCAAAATGGGAGACCTTCCAAGTCTGTGAGCCAGATTGCCAGTTAAAAAAAATCTAGAAGACTCTGGTAAACCATTTCATTATCATACCAAGAAAATTGCAGGCATAGGTCCATATAAATCCTGTGGACCAGCTAGGTTTGAAGGAGATCCAACTTGACTCTTAACTTCCCAGGTAGATCAACAAATAATTTGGCTAAAAACTCAACATTCTGAAAATAGTAGGAAATGTAGCACAACAGGCCCAGAGAAAGAAGCAAGCTGGAGAAAAGCTGATTTAATAAAAACCAATTACTTCACACAGGAGTTCTGACAACCAATTAGAAATGAAGAATAATAAAAGTTAAGATAGTTGCCTTGCAAGTGCTACTTGTCGTCATGGACTCTAAGAGAGCCAGATTTATGATGAGACAGAAAATTGTGATAACTTTTTGCTGAATGTGAGTAGAACTTTATACTCCAGAGAATGAATGATACCAGAAGACACTGAGGTTGGAGACAGCATGCATAGTCCCAACATGTTTCAGTTTCAAGCAATTACACATTTAAGCAAAACCTTAAATAGGATTGGAGAATAAAAACAAGGTGGGAGAGTATGTTGAAGCCAAAAAAATAACCAAGTATGTTGAAGCCAGATAAATAACCAAATATCAAAAAGAGGAAGGAATAGATGAGAATATTTAGTATTTTTATTTGACATGTACTTATTTTCCAATAACAACCACCACCTATGAGTTAGGTTGGCTTGAGATAAAATGAATAGTTATGACCTGAATGTCCATGGGGATGGAGTAGAAGCTGGGTTTTCCCCATTCCAAATTTAACACTTTAACCACTATGTTGGATCTCAAATTTTGGGCCAACTCATATCAGTGCCATTTTAACAACCCAGTGACATCTCTTTAAAAAACTAAGGAGATCTGCCTCCATGAAGGTTGGCACATATATTTATGGGAGAAAAGGGGTAAAATATAAGCTTATTTTAATAGACATCAAATAAGAGATTCCTTACTACAAACATGGAGAAAAATCAGAAAGAAACACTGCACAAGAATACCGCACTGGCTGTCAGCCATGGAAGCCATGATACATCCTAACACACTAGATTTAGGCAAAATGATAAAATACAAGGATCTATTAGATACCCAAGGAAGATTAAAATCAAATCAAGAATTAAAAGAACAAGGAATTACAATTGATTGGTGGCCATATCTCCAAATTCAAAATAGATACAAAACAGATTCAGAAGAATTTGAGTTTGATATGGGACAGAATCAATTGAATAAGATATTAATTGGACCAGAGCAAAATTTTATATCTAAAGCTTATAAATACCTGCTAGATTTTAGAATGGAAGAAGAAAAAGTAAAAAATACGATGATAGTATGGGCGCGGAATTTCGGTTACAATATAAACTTAGATGAGTGGGAAAAACTATGGAGTACAAATTATAAATTAACAATGGCCGCAACATACAAGGAAAATTTATATAAAATATTCTATCGGTGGCACTTAACCCCGACAAGACTAGCCAAGATATATCCAAATGCCAATCCAAAATGTTGGAAATGCCAACGAGTTGATGGTACCTACTATCAAATGTTGTGACTATGTCCTCAGGCCAGGACCTATTGGAATAAAATTAGGAAGTGGACACAAGAAATTATTGGATGCCAAATTGAATTCAAACCGGAAATCTATTTACTTGGGATTATACAAAAACAATATTAAAAAAAGATTAAATATTTAATTTTACACATATTGACAGCGGCCAGAATAGCTTACACGCAAATGTGGAAAGAGCACAGGATTCCAACTGAAGAATTAATCATACGAAAAATAGCAGACTGTGCTGAGATGGACATGCTCACACTTAAAATGAGAGAGAAAGAAGAATCAGAATACTACTTGATTTGGCATAGATAGTACATGTGGATAGAAAAAGAGGATAAGAATTAGAAAAGATGACTAAATAAGAATTCTCAAGAAAGTGATATACAAGATATAATAGGATAGACAGAAAGATTAAAGATGTATAATAATAAGTGTAATATATGTATTAAAGATAGGTATGAATAGATGTTAAAAGAATAAGACAATATTAAGGATGTATAA